CATCTGCTGCTTGGAATCTTGTTTGTTGTCTAACTCTTTCATGTGCAGTCCCCAGAGACTGGAAACTATTTTCAGGCAGCTTTAAACAACATGAATTGAGAGGAGCAGACAAAGCTCCCATGACAGCCGATAAGCACAAGCCTCTTTCAGCAAACATAAATCAGAGGAATATCTCAGATGACTCCCAGAGCTTTCAAATACTGCTAACCTAATCATACGTCAAGATAAAAGCCTCCTGTGATAAAGCATTAAAATATCAACTCAACTCACAGCATCCACTAACAGTCACTGATGTAGGTTTTTCCTCACAAAAAAAGGGAAAAAGTTGCAGATGTCAACACTGCAAGTGCAAAGCAAAGAATAAGCAAGAAATTAGTCTGAGATGAAAATTTCAGAATGGATTTACATAAACAGTCAAGCAGAGGAAGCACACAGGGACACAAAACACTTCAAAACACTTACACACTGAAACACACCAAATCATAGGTTAAAGTCGGCACAAATTGAAAATTATAAATCTATTTTAAATGCATCTTATTGATGTTATTGTGAACAATATATCTATGAATGTTTATTTATAATTTTAGTCTCATAAGTTTTCATCAAAAATGTTATGATAATCCATTTCACTATGATTTACATCACGATATTTACTGCAAATTTAAGTTAAGCAATCATCTGAGGCTTTTGTTCTGATAGAAAGGTAATGGACAGTAGGGAAAAACAATGCTACATACTGAAACATTTAATTGCACCTTACAGGATTGTAGCATTTTTTTATTTATTTAATTAATGAATTAAATTTATTTATTTTTTTTCGAGAGAAAGAAAATGCTACCCATATTATTTGCAGTTAATGTCAGAGGCTGTTGTCCAGTCGGATACTTAGTTGCAAAGTGCAGCAATTCTGCTGTCATGTATGTAATTACAAAACGGTCAGATTTTCTTATGCTAATATCTGCATATTGTTGGGCATATTGCGTATTGTTCCTGGTTTTGGTTTTAAGGAGATTTTTGTTCACTATAAACTTTTGATATGTTTGGTCTTGGATGGCCATTTGCCACCCAGATTAAATCTGGGTCCTAAAGCAACACCGGTGTTTAATTACTGATTTAGCACATTTTGACCTATCTGCTGTAATATAGGCCTATTAGGTTAACTTTATTTTGTTTTGTGTACATCATGTTACATTTCAGAGTTTCTATCTAAACTACATTGCAACTATCTACAGCTCAATGCCAAAGTGGTTTGTTATTCCTGACATAGCAAATGCTTTGCTGTGAAGTCGATAGTTTGTGCTTGTCAAAGACTTGTTGGAATACTACACTGGTCAACTACTAACAAGTTTACAGAGCACTGTAAACTTAGATTACAAGCAGTGTTCATAAAATACATAAACGACCTTGAACCAAAACATACTGTCATAATTCAAAGCGTTACAGCATTATCTAATGTAAATCGATGTTAGCTAGCCTCAGCTAACCGTTCCTTCTGTCAGCCCCTTATAACTCCGATCCTTCGCTCTCAGAAAGACACTTTTGCCCCCCGCCATTGAAACGCGTCCACTAACGTTACCTAGTAACGTTATAGGATCATATACCCTTCAGCCTATATTTCGTATGTTTCGTTATCGTGTTTTGGGCGTTCGTTGCGAAATCTGTCATTGGTTACTCAATGAGTGTGTTTGTGAATCGATGCGTTTGGTGATGTATTAGCAATGTCTGGGAATGTTTGGAGTGGACAAAGACAGGCTGACCAGAAACGAATCAAAAGTTGTCTCTCCGATGCTCAATATGGATACAGTGTTGCCAATTTAGCAATTTTGTAGCTAGATTTAGCGACTTCCCCACCCCACTTTTTTCAAAAGTTTAAGGACAAATATAGCAACTTCTTGGACAAACCTGATCTAAGTTCTCATCTTGCCCACTGATCTATATCAAAGACTATAGAATACCCAAGACGTGTCACTCATATAGTTCTGAATTGGGAAAAATGCAACACTCAGTATGGCCGCTCTATCGAACGAAGCCCCGCCTTCTGAGTAAAAGAGACAATCACTAATCGGTAAAGTCAGCGCGTCACTGCAGCTGCCGTTAGAAGTCCCGGTTGCTATAGAAACAGTCAGCACTCTGAGACGTGCGTTTAGGACTGTGCATGCGCACTGGCTGATCTTAGCCTGAAAAATAAGCTTTTTTTAATGCTATTTGAGCAAAATAAACAACATTTATGATACAGTTGTTGTCAGATTTCATTGGTGATTTCAAATATGAAATTTAATCGTAAGCTTAGTGAACAGTTTTGGAGAATTTGATGTTTGAAAGAGGGACTTTGTCTATATTCATCTTTATATAGATCAGTGAATTTGCCATTATGATGTCATCTAGTGACATTTAGCTACCAGTTTTAGCTACTTTCAATTGAAAGCAGTTGGCAACACTGTATGGATATATTTTACTATTTACAAAATTAAAAACAATGACACTACTTTCAAAATGCACAGTAGCCTACTACACTAGTTTTATATAAACAAGCATCAAAGAAAAACTTCAATGTAAAACAAGAGGAAACAATACTAAATAAACTAAATTAAAATCTAAAATAGGTTTATTGTCCATTGTATTGTGTTACAATCAGTGTTGGGGAAAGTTACTTTTAAAAGTAATGCATTACAATATTGCGTTACTCCATAAAAAAGTAACTAATTACGTTACTTAGTTACTTTTTATGGAAAGTAATGCGTTACGTTACTTTTGCGTTACTTTTTAAATCTGGACAGGGCTTGCTTGTTTGTTTTTAAAATAAAAAAATTCTATTTTTGGCAAATATAACAGCCTTTTCACACCAAAAGTGAAATGAATAAGCCTCAGTCTGAAGGGAAAGTAAATTTACGTCCGTACAGTAGAATGCAGAAGAAGAAATTTCAACACACTTCAGCAATAAAAAAAGACACTCAAATGTTTGTCTAGAGTAATTTTTGCTTATTAGTACGGTTGAACTGGATCATCGGAGGTCAGAAGCAAAGACATTGGTTAATAGAATGGGATTAAATACATAAAGGATATTTGTGTTTTTTAACATTTAATTATTGCAGGTTTGCGTCATATTCTGAGTTGCATTATTTTTATTCATTTTGAGGAATACTGAATCAGTTTTTTTATTTTGTGAGTAAGATTAATTAATGCATATTCATATTTATTTTAGAACTACATTAATATCTTCTGATTTCTCTCAACATGGGGACAGGAGAGCTGTCAATCAATAAATTGAAAAAAAAAAAAAAAAGTAACTTGCGTTACTTATTTGAAAAAGTAACTCAGATATTCTCTTGTAAATTAAAAAGTAATGCATTACTTTACTAGTTACTTGAAAAAAGTAATCTGATTACGTAACTCACGTTACTTGTAATGCGTTACCCCCAACACTGGTTACAATAGGCCTATAACTCGATGGAATTTTAATCGATAGACATCAATCAACGTCGTTTGCGATAAATGTGATATTCGATGATTGACGGTGTTCTGATTGCATTAGCAGTATCTAATAAATGTATTTTTTTTTTTATAAATATATGTTTCTATTTTTATTGTTTTGCATATATCAATACAATGTAGGCCTATGTGTCTATCTACATAGAAAAAACACTGTAAATCAATCAGGTACACTCTTAAAAATAAAGGTGCTTCAAAAGGTTCTTCAAGCGATGCCATAGAAGAACCATTTTGGGGTCCACAAAGAACCATTCAGACAAAGGTTCTTTAAAGAACCATCTCTTTCTTACCTTTTTGTAATCTGAAGAAACTTCTTTCGCCACAAAGAACCTTTTGTGAAACAGAAAGGTTCTTCAGATGTTAAAGGTTCTTTATGGAACCATTTAGAAAAAAAGGTTCTTCTATGGCATCGTGAAGCACCTTTATTTTTAAGAGTGTAGCCTATCTGGTAGCTTAAAATAGGTTCATATTAAATTAGGTAAATGTGGTCCTATACATATGTGGAGGTTAGACGCATCTTGCATATTTGGCATAAACAATATGTAGGCTATGTCCGTAATATAAAAAGCTTAATTATTTCTCACACCATGTGGGAACATTATTCTATCTAGAAATTTCTCATTGGCTCTTTATCAATTAAAATGGATGGGGATCAGCGGCTGTAAAATAAAATAAATAAAATACAATACAAAAAGAAAGAAAGAAAGAAAGAAAGAAAGACGATAGGCTAGGCTATATGCAAAATCTGTTATAAGCTACAGGGTTAGAATGGCACAATGGCTCTCACTGCTCCCAATTCTGCCAGTATACGGATTATAAAATTATATATTGTAAAAGCTTATAAAAAAAATTGGCACATTTACATAATAGACTTAAGTGCTTATGTTAAAGACATTGTGCATTGTCACTTTTAAAATTAAAATAAAGAATAATAATTAAAAAGCCCTTAGTTTAAAATCTACTCTTTTATTGGAATACTTTTACTTAAACGAACGACAAATCTTTTCTATGATATCCAAACGCATGAAGTATCTCGTCTCACCAAACTCTTTTCTGTTCACTGAACGAGCAGAAAATGAATAACTCGTATCATGAAGATGACTTTGCTTTACGATAGAGGCACTGTGGAGACGCAAAGGGGTTGCGCAGACCCACGCACTGCGCAAAGAAACCACAAAACCATTTAGCACTGGTGTTTTCTCGTATATGTATAGTCAAGTTACGGACCTGGTTTGCGATCTGTATAGGCTTACATTATTTTGCAATTTTATTTTTTAAGACAGGAGCCTTTAGTAGGTATTTTACACGCCAGAGAAGAAATTATATTCGTTTGCAAGTTGCATAGTAACATAAGTCAGACGGCAACTTTTCTCTGTGGTTCTTTACTACAGAACAATTTTTTCTTGTCCAATCCCTCCCATGTCTCCTCCTTCCCTTTACGCACTGTCTCTCCCACTCTCAGCGCGCGCGCTCCACAGTTCTGCCTCAGCTCTCTTGTCATCGTCGCAAACAAAGACAGCCTTCAGGGTAGTTGGCGCAGTGGTTTCAGAGCGCTGAAAAGTACTTGAGAACAATTGGGATTGAGATCAACAGCTGTCAGAGTGGACTTTACAGACATCTGCGGTCTTAATTGACCTCTTTTAAAATGCAAAACTCCCCGAATGGCTTTGTTCACTCGTGTGGATTTATGCCCTGCTGTCAGTGGTAGTCCCAAGTCGTTTCTCTGTCTCAGTTTGTCCTCCAAAGGAAGCCTCCAGGAGACTACAGGATGAAATGGACAGTCTTGCTGTTAGAATACTTCTTGGTCAAAGTTCTGGTGCTGTTGTGCAGCGCGGTCGGGGAAGCGCAGCAGCAGCAGCTCGAGGGCTTTATAATGCTCTCAGGATCCAATGGGTCCCGGGATGAGGAGAGCGTTTCTGAACCTCCACATATTGAGGACAAATGTCGGGGTTACTATGATGTCATGGGACAGTGGGACCCGCCGTTCGTTTGCCAAACTGGCAATTATTTATTCTGTTGCGGCACTTGTGGCTTCAGATTTTGCTGCGCTTATAAAAACTCTCGTTTGGATCAGAGCACCTGCAAAAATTACGATACACCAGTATGGCTAACAGGACAGCCACCCTATAAGAAAACCCTAGACCCTAGACACGATCCAACCAAGGATAAAACAAACTTGATTGTGTATATAATATGTGGAGTAGTGGCAGTCATGGCACTGGTCGGGATATTTACCAAACTTGGACTAGAAAAGGCTCACAGACCTCACAGAGAAAGCATGTCACGGTAAGCAACTCATAGTTATGATGGTTTGACGAAGTCTTCATTTTCTTTTTGAATTTGACCAAAAAAGCTTATGGTGAGAACAGCGTGCTTTGCCACTGATTCTTTTTCGTTTTTTGTAAATGTGCTTGCTTATATGGATGTCTTTGATGTTGCACGCGTCTTATGCCATGAGCTCTGCGTTTATTCATCTCTGTCAATTTAAGAGAAGTTAAACTTTTTAAAACGCATCTCGAGATGCCATTACATCGTGCATCTCTGTTTTCGAACGTTAGAGCGCTCCAGTGTGTGTGACTGCTAGGGTCGTTCAAAAACATGTAAAAAAAAAAAAAAAAAAAAAAAAAAATTTTAAATAGAGGTGCTGTATGTAGGATTGACACCGAGTGGTTGAACTAGGTATTGCAGTC